ATTATCCATATCCATAGTTTTCATGTCATGGTTAGGCTAGGATAATTTGCCAGTGCAGTTCTGAGCTATTGAGCTTGATAAATGAAGGTATGGGTTTGTAGTGGTGAACTTAATGACCTATACTTCATAGTTAGTACGTGTAATCCTCATTTACCTGGAAACATAAAAACCCTAAAGTATCGCTGTTCGATAATTTCAGGTATTTTATATGAAAACTAAAAGATTGGATAAGAAAAAACTAACTTTGATAAGACGTGTTCCTAATGTGTCTTAGACACTGAGTTATAAAGGTTGCCACATAGGGGTGTTATTTAAGAAAATCATAAATAGTATCTTTTTAAAAGTAAAGCAGAAGAGTTAAAACTGATGAACTCATTTAGTTTGTTTTATGTATTTTAATTTCAGTTTTTCTGTTTTTTCTGAAGACTCCTATTCTGAGTCTTTATTAGCAATCTGGTTTCTTTCTTTGGAATTTTGAAAGTCATTGTTCACATTCTCTTTCTATTGTTGAAATACAATATTTTTAATTTTGTTAAAAGAATTTGATAAGTGTGAATCTAAACTAACTAGTTTATAAAATTGATTCAGGAGCTTCACTGATTTCTGTAATGCAAAAATGAACCACAATTTAAAAACATTTAACTGTTGTGTAATAGTGTACTTGATTTATCCTGTACTGCGTTTTGTTTTGTTTTGTTTTGTTTTGTTTTGTTTTGTTTTGTTTTGAGCCAAGGTTTAGCTTTGTATTTTGTGAATCAGTTAGTTGCACTTTTAACCCAGAAACCTACATTGAAAAATAAATACAACAATACTAGTATATAGGTTAAATCTTACCTTTCACAGATAACTATCAAAAATTGAGAATTTTAGAGCTGGGTGGATCTTTGTGATCACCTCATTCACTGACCTTATTTTGTAGTGAAATAACATTGTGGCCTTGGGACTGCTATTGGGTTGTCAAATTTGGAAAAATTCAAACTTCGTTTTAGTATGGGGTTGGCGAGTAGCAAGGGATGATGAGACAAGGAGTGTCACCGATCAGTTATGAAGTAAAGTAGTTTGTGACCCTTTACCTCTTTTTAGTCTGTCTCTTTTTGAGCTATGAACAGTTTAAAAAGAAAAAAAAAACTCTCTAATTTGCTAATAAAGTACAGAAGAAAAAGTTCAAGAACTTGGCCAGTTTCTTTGAAAGTTTGTAGGAGACCCAAGATTAAAAGTACATCCTTGAGTATAAGGGCAACTTTTATTTATATGATGTCAGTCACTGTAACACCTGTTTTACCTACTGAGCATGCTGCCCTCATAATGCCTCTCTGAAGCTGCCTGGAGCAGGGTCAGCTATTGAGGCCTGTGAGCACGAGCAAGTGAAATAACAAGAGGAAATGTCTGAGGGGTCCCAGAGGATAAGAGAAAAGACAAATGTTGATCTCTTAATTCCTCAAAACCTAAGTAGTCTGTCTTATGGTAGGAGAGTCATGCTAGTAATGGAATTACCAGAGTTGGTAAAAATTTCAAAAAGATAAGGTATCCCTTAAGACACAGTGACTTAAGTGACTTCTGCAAAGAAGCAGAAGCCTGAATGTTTTAAACAGTGAAAAGCTGGACTCTTAAAACTTTCTTCAAGATAATGGAAACGGAAACATTCAAAGTACTTGTAGACTTGGAAGTAAATGTGACAGTAACGGTTTGAAGGTATACTGAAAATTTTAAGGCCACACTCAAAAAGCATAGAAAGGCAAACGTGCGCTTCGATGCTTCCATAATAAATGCTATTCATTGTTATGAAAGAAATCCAGTGACTTTGTGCTGAACTAAAGTTAGTAAGAATGTGTTGTTACAGCAGGCACGATGGCACAGGCCTGTAATCAGGAGGCTGCAGCAGGAAGATCACAGGTTGGAGGCCAGCCTGGTCAACTTAGCCCTTCCCAAAATAAAAAGAGCCAAGGATGTAGCTCAGTGGTAGAGCACACCTGAGTTCAATCCCTAGGAACAGGAAAAATTTGGTTGTCATTTTAAGTTAAAACACATGAAAAACTAATGTGTTCGTGGCTAAAATAAGTGACCTAGTAGTTTCTGTGTTTTATCACTTAGCCCTCACAATAAGTTGGTTCTGTCATTTTCAAGCATGGAAAGCAGAGATTAGAGAAGTTAAGCAACTTGTCCAGAATCACAGACCAATGAATGACAAGGCCAGGACTTTTAAACTCTGTTAGACTCCAAACCCAATGCAGTCACTAAAGGTTACTGCTTTATTTAACTAAATCCAAGGTTCTTCACTGTTAACCACTTACTTGTTTGATAGCGTTTCATTTGTGGTGGTGCCTGGGATCAAACTCGAGGCCTAGCCCATGTTTTAGGCAAGGGCTCTGCCACTGAGCTACATCTCCAGCCCCTGACAGCTTTTTTCTATCAACACTTTCCATAATGTACTTTTATATTGCTGGTAAATATTAATGGTAGATTAAGAGTAACCACTAGTAATGCAAAAATATAAGAAACTGTCAATTTCAGTTATAAGAGTCTTCAGTGAACTCTGACCTCTTCAGCTAACAGGCTAAAAGGCACTGCTGAGAAGCTTAATGGCACTTAATGGCAATATTGCATTTTAGGGTAAACACTAAATAAAATCCAGTGAATCTAATCTAAACCACTCAGCATACTAGATTTTTCTTGCACTTGAATAAAATATTTTTAAACTAATTCTTCAGTTGACAAGCCTCAAAAATCTTTACATCCTAAGTGTTTGTTATAGTGCCTGCTTGGTACATAAAATAGCTACCAAAATTTTTTAAGTAAAAGAAAGTAGTCATTAGTTTTAGGATGAAACGCATATGTAACTTGTTACATGCTTGTAATTTTTATGTATCTTTGAACATTCCTTTGCTGGGAACATATTTTAAAGTATATCAACAATAAACATTGTGATTCCATGCAGCTTTTAAGAACTCTTCTTGTTTTTTACTGTTTCCATTTTAATAATCTAGAGAAACCCAATGCAGATTTAATACTACAAAAAGACATAAAATACCTAAACATTTAATATACACTAAAAATTGTGTATGAAAAAATAAAATAAATAGAAAATACTCCTTTATTTGAAAAATGTTTTCCTAATAGAAGCTTTAGGATTTAGTTAATCAGATGATAAGTTATTGCAAGTGTTTGCAAGATCCTACTTAAAAAGCTCCCATTTAAGAATTCAAGTTTTGTTTCCTCCTAAGAAAAATTATTGACACCCATTTTGTATACTACTTTATAAGTTAGTACTTGAGAATTTAATATCATCTCATTTTTCTCCTTTGTGTAATTACTACTTTTTTTAAATACTGCTTACTTCAAAGGGAAACACTGTTTAAAAGATGTGAAACATTTAATCCTGGAATGCCGAGACGACTCTGAAAATATTTTAAGCACATCTGTATTATATTACACAAAGAAAAGAAGGATACATGCGTTCTGTGGTGTATGGGCATTGGGATGGCTGTGTAGGAAGCTGAGTAATTTTTCATTTCAAGGTTTTTTTCAGCATAATCTGCAATTCTAATGCTTTAGTTCCATGGGTAGGGTGAGTGACCAGAGAAGTATATGTAACATGTTGGGTTTTTACAGTTATTCTCTTACCTATCATCCACTTTTTAAAAACAAGTCAGTTTTTGTAATACGCTTGGCTTTGCATGTTGTTAAGCACTTCTCTTTCTCCATTTGACAATTGTTGTGTAGGATAAACAGAACACTGGTAAAGGGGCTGGGGATTTAGCTCAGCGGCACAGCGCCTGCCTGGCAAGCGCAAGGTCGTGAGTTCGATTCCCGGTGGAAAAAAAACCAAAAAAGCAAACAAACAATCAAATTCAGAGCAGAACACAGATAAATCAGAAAACCAGTGTTCTTAATAAATATACAACATGTGTACCTTGATCATCTGTGAGTTAGGGTGAAATAGTTATTAAGAAATACAAGTTTGTGAATGGTTTACTCTTATAGCAGATTCAGAAGTATCCTGTGTATTACAGTGCATTTTCTTGAGCTAGAGGGAAAAGGATAGAGTTATAACTGGCAGAATTATGTTTTACATAAGAATATTATGATTGGTAGAGATGGAAAAAAAAGGCTGGAAAACTGCACTGCCCTGGTGAAGATATTGTCAACTTCTTTTTCTTTGCCATCCAATAATACTCACATGGCAATGTATTTTTGTATGCCAGTGCTAGTCATCTAGCTGAAATTCCACCCTTTTCTCCCCCACCACCTGCCCTAGAAAGCAAGCAAAAGAGAATATTATGGGGGTATGTCTTTTGTCAGCTCAAACTTAAGTAACGACTTGAACATGGTATACCTAGTGAATGTTTGTACCTAATTACCTGTGACACATTTAACAGTTGTATCATGAGACTATGACATAAACTCTGTATTTCTTAAATTAAGTGCTTCTGCCTCATTCAGAAACCAAAACCTTCTTTTTGTTGTTTCAAAATAAAAGAAAGCCAAATTTAATTGTATGGCAAGATAAATTTCTCAAAACCAGTTATAATTAGAGCTGAATTTTTTGCAAAAGTATTTTTGAGCCAATTATAAATTTTACTGCCATACATTACTAGAAATTATTTGTTGTAAGACAGTGGCTGTTTTTCTTTGTAAGGCTTAAAGTTAAATGTATTTGAGGAATTTGAATTTTTAGTCACTCTTTTATATAAGAAAAATTCTTAATATATTAAATCTAGATATTAATAAAAGTGTTTTGTACTTGATACGAAAATAGGTGACTTGTTATTTCCTAATGTCAGAATGCTTATATACTCTTGATTTAACTTTAGCTTCTGTATAATAGTAGTTCTTTCACCTGGTTTTCTTAGCATTAAATTGATCTTACAAGGAAATAACTACTGAATTCATGTCATCACCATAAGAAGAATTTTTCAGTGTAAGACTCTGATATACATATTTGGTTTTTTTATAAGTAAATTAGAGTACTAAGGGTATTTTTGGTTTTTTTTATTAATAAGATATTATGAATTGGATCCTCATAAAAGTCTCCTCGATAATTTGAGGAAGAAAGTGATCATTGAATACCCAACATTACATGTGGTGTTGAAAGACTCCAGTAATGACATGATACTTCTTCACCAAGGTAAGTGTAAATTTGTTTCTGCATGCTTAGAATAACTAGAGAAACTGAAGGAATTGTGTGACCTATCACAAGTCACCTGTTTTCTCTTTACATCTGCGTTTTCCCAGTATACTTAGCAGACTGAAGAGAATTTACTATGTTGCTGCTGTTGACAATACACAGAATCAAATGAAGGAGCTGCTGCTCCTCTTCGAGGACATGTAAATTTACTAGGCCAAGCTTAAAGGAATGATATTTGAGTGTCTGGATATGAAAGGACACTTTTCATATGGAGTTACCCAGGGTAAAATAAATTACTCTCTCGTTAAAGCTCTTTCTTGAGTGATTCCTAAAATGAGGGATAAACAAAATGTTTTTAAGGGATAGTGCTGCAAGGAACATGTATAAAATTTCGACTGCATTTAGACTAAACTAGCCCATTGCCTTGACCCTTTATCTTCTTAATTTAAAATTACTGGTTTTATTTCCTTGATTTTGTTTCCTTGGCCTTATGAAGAAGCATTGAACTGGAAAATGTATACATAAAGGTTTAGTATATAAAATGACTTGCCTATACTTACAACTACTCAGTAAGGTAAGGGAATTATATTTTAGAAAGCAAGATTTTAGAGTATGAATAAAATTCAGTAATTATTTTTTTAATTTCCAATTTTCTTTTTTTTGGTACCAGGAATTGAACTCAGGACCTTGCAGTTGCCAGGCAGGCGCTGCCCCGCTGAACTATATCCCCGGCCCAATAATTGTTTTTTTTTAGAATGAGGGAGATTACTTAAAACCATACCATTTTCAACTAAGAAATAATAGGTACAGACCAAGTTTCAACATAATGAACACCATGGGACCTTAGAATTCTTGGATTGATCTCTATTTTTTAAAGTAATGTTGACATACTTGGTTCAGGTTTTATTGTTATACTATCATTAGAGCCATACAGGCAGCAACCTACATTTTAAATTTTTCTATACTTGTGTTGAGCTTTTCTGCCCACTGGCAAAAGTTAGGACAAGAAATTTGTTGCAAAATTGCTAAAATTTTGTTTGTGCTGTGGCTTGCAACTAGATTTTAATGTGAAGTTTTCAATAATATAGTATGAGCCTTTACCTCTTGTGAATATTCTTGACTTTGAAAACATCCAGTTTCATTTTTTAACTAAAAGTAATTAGAAATTTTAGTTTTGAGTGATTGGTTTTACATTTTTAAAATTTAAAACCTTACTTTTCCTTTAATATAATTCACATAACACTCTATCTAGACATTGGCTTCAGGGAAAGTTGTTCAGTAATGTGATTTGCTAGCCAGGGCAAACATCGTCTGTGTAAATAAACAGCATACACAGCTCCTCTTTCACCTTTTAGAATACACGTTCAAGTGTAGCTGCAGTGAAGCTGTGAGACTACTGTGATAGTGTTCTTGAAGCCTTAAGTAGAATTTGCTTTTTTTTTTTCCTGCTGAGTTTATGATGTTTAGCTGTTTACAGGAACATAGGTGACTTGTGCTTTTAGCACATAAATGATTATTGAGAACTGCTGTAGCAAAAAATGTAAGAGGATCTGACAGAATTTAAGGATGCTAACAGAGTTGTCGCAGCTTAGGTATATACACCTTAACAACAGTGCCAGGCCTGTCTGTACGTACATTTCTTTCTGGAAGCACTTCAGGGTACCTTTGTGCTTTGTATAGTCCCATAGCATCTGATGTCCTGCAGTGTGGTCTCTTAATGAGAAGGGGGATTGTAAAAGAACAAAGCATTTTCATTGGAAAGCCTCAAAATTTTTTCCCACTCTGGAGGCAAAAAAGTTGGATTTTTGATCCTGAGTTCATAGTACAAGGTGTCTCTTTTCTAGTTTGGGGAAAAATGTGTTTCTGGGCTAGGATTCAGTAGTTTCCACATTTGATGGTTGTCATAATGTTTGTTATGATTATAGATTGCCATAATTTATTTTTCAAAAGTCTGCCTGTATTACTTGGCAGTAGACAATATCTTTTTCTTTCTTCCTTTCTTTCCTTTTCTTTCTTTCTCAGGAATGGAAAAGGCTAACTATAAAAGATTAAGCAGCTAAGGTAGCCTGCTAGATTGGAGATGTAGAGTGCTTCTACTCTGCCTGATATCAACCCAGTGAGAAGTGCTCAGGATGCTATGGCTTGCTTCACAAGTTCTTGTTTGCCTAAGTTAGTCCAGCAGATTTAAACTACTTGATTAAAGCATGCTACATTTCAGCCGGGAACACTATTAGAAGAAAACTAGGCAGCTTTAATAAAGAAAAGGAAAAATGTTCCCTATATTGCTATAAAGACCTACTAATTTTAAAAATATCACCAATATGTATTTCCCTGATGTTTTAGTATAACTCAAGTTTAGAAAATGCCTCTACCTTTGCAGAAGGAAACCAACCCTAAATTGATTACTTTGAATTAATGAAAATACCTGACTTAGCAGCTACTCATCAGTCTCGCGTTGAGCCAATAAACGCTTTCATTTATGCTCCTTCTCTCTTCTGTTCGCATTCTTCCTTACCCCTCTTTTTATCCTCCCCTTTTCGATGTATATCGAGTGCGGGAGGGAGAGATCAGGCACCTGACTTTACAGTACAGTGGGTACTGGGACAGAGTTTGGATAAAGTGCAGAAAGAGCTACGGGAGAAAACAACTAACATAATATCACAGAAGGACTTGAAAAATTCTGCTAGAGTTTATATAATTCCACAAAGAGGTGTACTGTATCTTAGATGAAACATTTTAGTGCCTTACTCATAGGAAGGACTCAGTTAATACTAGTTTAGTTTCTGATGCAATCCAAAATCTAAGCAAACCACAAAGATCCTGTGAGTTGAAATACAAGGCAAAAGTCTAGGTTTGTGATTCTGCCATCCATCAGCTTTTGTAATCTGTGGTTCTTGAGCATTCATTCTGCCTCTCTGAGCTTTATTTTTCTTATCTACATAGTGATGAAACTGCTATAAGCTTCACGTGCAATAATACATATTTTAAGTTTAACAATTTTTAAAGCATTTTAATGTATTATAGCCTTTCAGCTTCATGATACAATGAAATGGATAGAACATTTACTCTGGTTCCCATTGGCAAATTTAAAAAACAAAGAACAAACACTTAAAGAGTAACTTGTAGTTATATTGATTCTGCAAACACAGTCTGCTGTGGAGCTAGATATAGAGGGGAAAGGTCCACTTTCCATCCTCTAGGAAATTACTTTAGTGAGTGAATGAAACTTAACCTTGTTTATCATAGGCATGACAGAAGCTTCACAGAAACTCCATTTCTGCCCTGAGTCTTTTTTCCTATTAAAGGAAAGAGATGCCCATTGGCTGGCGAGTCTCGTGTCAGCCCACATTCATTCAGCATATACTGACCCTCAATTTTAAGTTTGAAAAAAATTATGGAAAAATTAATTCCAACCACACATGGCCAGCCTGTGATAACAGTGATCTATTCAGTTGTGTGAGCATGGGATCATAACCATACTGTGAGTGACCATTCCCCAGTCTTCCACAGAGTCAGGAAGGATGTTAACTCACAGATATAATTGCCACTTTCAGACATCCTTCTCTATTTATTATGGCCAGGATCATATACCCAGCTGCCTGGGACGTGACATGGTGTGTCTCCCTGTGAGCAGTGCTGTTGCTATGCGTCGAAGGGAGAAGAGATGGAGGAAAAACAGAACAGGATAAATAGAAACAGTATAAACATTTGACTGTATGTTTGCTTACTTTTTTTCCAGTGAAAAGTGAATCTCCCAAGAACCTTGGCAGTGAAAATTGAGCACTTCTTGTAGAAGAAGATGAAAATCCCCAGACAGTTGCAGAGAATTATGCATTGATGGACTATTGGATGTTTTCGTTATTATCAGTGGGCAGTGGGAATTTTTTTGTCTGTAAAGTAATTAAATGTTCTAAACTTTTTTTTTACAAAAATGTATTTTCTAGACTCTTAAATTAATTGACTTTCAGAGGCCCCGTTTCTGTAGTGTGAAACACTTTTTGTACCTCAGCATAGTCCTTAATATGATTAATTCTATAGGCTGAAAATGTTCTATTTGTTAGTTTGGATCAAAACCAAATCAACCTAAAGATGACCTTCTTAAGTGGAACCTCACTAAAGAACCGTCATGCCGTAAACCATCTAGCCAAGGAGAAGTGATCCCCCTTCAGTTGCCTGATCCTGGTTGGGGGATTTGTTTATAACTTACCGCTCCTAAGGCAGTCTTTGTACTTGGGGAAGTCCCAGTGCAGTGTCTTCTGGAAAGGCTAAATCAGTGCTTAACTACTGTTTCTTATATTGACATCAGCCCTACATTGTTTGAACAGTCATTGTTAGCAAGTTTGATACTTCTTGCTCACACAGTGAGATGTGTCTTAGGAGTTCTTTGCCTCCTCTCATTTCCAGTCCACTCATTACCACACAAGCGAAGGTATTGTGATGCCATCCAGCAATAACTGAAGAAAGAAAAACACTTGAAATTCATCAGTGTATTATTGAAATGTGTCTGTGTGTATTTGTGTATATACATGGCTTAATTTATACCTTATGGCAGCTCAAAGTTTGCTAATTTTATTGGAATTTATGCAGTTATGAAACAGCAATATGACTATAAAAGATTAAAAGGTTATTACATCTGTATTGCATCTGTGTACTTAATGGTTAAAAACTGATAAAATTGGACATTAATAACATTCATTTTTAGTTTACAGTTGGAACAAATTCTAACCCCCCCAAAAAACCCCAAAGAGACATTAAAGAGACTTACAAAATTAGAAATATATGAACAGTTACAAAATGCACTCAGGAGAAGTTTGTACAACACAAATGCATAAGTAACTTGGTATGGAAACTGAAGAAGAGATTCCAAAAGCCTCAGAGTCTAAAAGACCATTTCATAAAATACCGGTGGAGCTGCATGGTACCACACACCTGTGACCCTGTGCCGTGTGAAAGGTTGAGACAGGAGGGGATTGTAAGTTTGAGACCAGGCTGGGCAATTTAGCGAGATCCTACCTCAAAATAAAAATTTTTTAAAGAGCCAGGGAATATAGCTCAGTGTGAAGACCTGGGTTCAGTCTCCAATACCCAAAGGGAAAAAAAAAGTTGAAATTGGTTTATAGAAAGTTAGAAGGCCCTGCAATCTGAGAAGCAATTCAGGAATCTAATATAGGAAGGAATTTATATGGAATTATTTGGTTTACAATATTACTAGATGGACAACTAAATTGAGTTTCAAAGGATTCAGATTTAATCCAAAAGTGAAAAGTCTTGAAACGGGCAAGAAATAGGATGAATTGAATCAAATTGTCACAGAGTTGTTAGGAAAAGAGGGATAAAGTACCCAAAAAGAACATATGATCTGAATATCAGAGTGGGAAGTAATTTCCTGAAAGTGAAATGTGTTATGATGTAGTTTCATTTCCAAGAAAAATGTTGAGTTCCATCCCTTCTAGAATTTAAAATGAAAACTGGACAAAACCCAGAAGATTTAATTCTGTACTTTCCTTTGCCTAAGAAGATGAAATGATGAAATGGTGGGGGAGAGAAGTGCTTCATGATCTAATGCATCTTTGCCATCTCTTTTCTAGAATTCTATTAGACTTTTCATTTGTAAGCTATTTTTAGGAAAGAATTTAACTAGTAGAGTTCACATAAATGTAATATCAGCTCATTAGATTAATATGCAAATTCATTCACAGGATTTATAATAAACGTGTATTTTAATAAGTAGGCATGTCAAAGAGGTGGAGGGAGTGAAGTTAGAATAATTCACTGGGAGCTCTAGAAGTTTGTAGTACTAAGACCCAATTTCTTTTTAGAGAGGCCCTCTCCCTTTGGGATTCTTGACAAATTCTGATTTGTAAGCGCACTCCCTGACCCATGTTAAATTCAACACCCTGCATTTTGTTCATGAATCCCATTTTAAGAAAAAAGCTCTGCCTGGCCTCATTTTTAAAACTGATTTCAAAGAATCTAGGCTTTTCATAATTGCTAATTATTGATTGTGGGATTCATAGACAACAGAATAGTAAACAAAATTTGTACCTGTTCCTATTATACAAATTTAGTCTTACTATGTTAGATATTTGATACTCTGAAGTATAGATGAGCCAGTTTGGCCAGTTTGTTTCCCTATAGCAGATAATGAGACAGATTTCAGAGCATCAAAACATGTTAAGCACACAACTACAATGGCAATCATTTCCTTTATACATTTTAAATTGGCATATACTACCTATTGTACCTAATTTAATATTACTTAATTTATATTATGTATTTTACCTGATTTACTACTACTAAATTTTATACAAAGCTGTTGGTCTACTTTTATTTTTAATTGTACACTATTGCACTGAAATGTTTTAACTTTATCTTCAGGAAGACATTAATGCATTTTTTTTTCCAGTGCGGAGGTTTGAACTCTGGGCTAGGCAAGTGCTCCCTCACTGACCTACACAGCTAGCACCTGTTAATGCACTTTTAATTATTAACCAATCATCCTTCCAGTTCCAAGTGATGGAAATGTAAACTGATGTCAGCATGAGGGGCAGTTTATTGGCTCATATTCAGGAGAGTATGGGTGTGACTGTACCAAACACTAGCGAAAGTCATGTTGTCATCCCCCACACTCAGCTTTAATCTTCCTTCCCCCAAATTGGTTTTCTTGTCCAGGAAGATTTCCTCTTTGAGGATATTGTCTTTGAGGAACAGGTCTATGAAGTGAGGGTGGTAGATAGAAGCAATTGACAGTTTCAGCTCACCTCATTATAACCAGCGAAAGGAAACTAGAAAACAGGAAACTGTAGAAAATTTTGGAGTTAATTGATTTTGCCTATACTGGCTCACATTCTTGATTGCTCAGGAAAGGCATTCCCCCAAGGAAGGAGGAATTATTAAGGGAAGAGTGTAGGGGGCAGGTTAAGAAAGATCAGGTGTCCACTACACCCTGTTTGAATTTGAGTAGTTTATCAGTTAGTGCTTACTAGAGAGAGAGGTTTACAGTGACTGCCCACAGAGTCAGGTGTGGAAGAGTGCAAAAGGTGTGTTTGTGCACTGGGGAGCCAGAGAATCCAGTAAAGTCCTGGAGCTTACTGCAGTGTCCCATGTCAGTCCGTATCACGAAGCTGTGGACAGCTGAAGGGTCTGCGCTGGAAGACGAGATGACATGCGAGGTGAAGATGGAGACTGAAGCTCCTCCAAAGAAACAGAAGCAATCGTTCCGTCTTCATTTCCCTTTTATAACATCCTGGTGACAGTCCTCACTAGGGAATCCTCCGCACCCAGAACCGTGCTGTGCCAGTTGAGTTGTGTGTTTCTTATTGAGGCTGACATAATCAACTAAATATCACAAGTAGGAAGAGGCTTTTGATTTGAACCAACAGAAAAAAGTCACATTTAAAATTAACGTGCAGTTTCTGCTTGATAATATTGCTGCCTTGCTTTACCGTTATGAGTCCCTCTCCATATTGATTTCTGTGTACATGGTACGTGTTACTGATTTGATCAGATGCACATACCACCAATCCATTTTCTTCATCAGTTTGGAAATTTTTTCCAGTTTGTCAATGCTTGAAAAAACAGGGATTTCTGAAGTTAACTGTATGAAAAAGTACGTTGAAAATGAAGGGTACTTAAATAAAAATTGAGCTTAAGTAAACTCTTGAGGATCTTCACTGTAAAATATTTTCTTTCAACTTTAATCCTTGAAAAGTACAATGTATACCTGTGTTCTTTAAAATGAAGTATAATATAAACATTTTCCATAGTGGGGCATGGTAGAAGCAAATGCATCTTTTAACCACTGACAAGCAGTTGTATCACTCTACTGTTTCCAATTTCATCTCTCTGAATAAAATACCAAGGCTACTTAGCTTGACCTTTGGTACCCTCCACAACCTAGTCTTAATTTTATTTCTTTTCATCTTTCAGTCACAAAAAGCATCCCTGAAGTCATTTTCATTCTTTTGTATGTAGATGTCCAGTTTTCCAACACCATGGTTGTCAAAAAAATTCTAAAGTTTTATTTTTATTCATGTTTGCAGTACATGGTGAGTACTCTATTTATGGAAGAGACTGTCCTTTCTTCATTATGTCTTTTTGGTAGCTTTGTCAAAGGTAGTTGACATGTATCTATAAGTTTATATCTGAGATCTGTTTCATTAGTTTATGTGTACCTTTTTATGAGAATGTAATGTTTTGCTTACTGTCCTTCTATAATTTTCTGATATTATTTGAAATCAAGAGGCATGATATATCCACTTTGTTACTCTTTCTCAGGACTGCTTTGACTACTTAGGGTCTTTAGTGGTTCTATATGAATTTTAGGATTTTTTTTCTATTTTTACGGAAAATGCCTTTGTAATTCACATAGGGTTTGCACTTGATCTATAGATTGCTTTGAGTAGAATGGACATTTTGACAAAATTCTTCCAGTCCATAACACATTATATCTTTCCATTTATTTGTGCTTCAATTTCAGTATATGCATTTAATATGTAGCTCTTTTTACCTCCGTAGTTAAAATTTATTAAGTATTTTGGTTTTTATGCTATTGTAAATGGTGACTTTTTTATTTCTTTTTCCAGCTAGTTCATTGCTTGTGCACAGAAATGCAGTTGGATCTTGCAACTTTACGGAACTCATTTATTCTAACACTTCTGGGTGGAATCTAGGTTTTCAGTATAGTAAATCATCATCTGCAAACAGTCTATTATAGCTCTTCTTTTTTTACTTGGATGTGTTTTACTTCCTTTTCTTACCTAATTGCTCTGGATAGGACATCTAATACTGTACTGAATAGAAATAATGAGAGTGTGGACCTTTAAGGTATATACCACTATTATAAGTCCAGAGAATTCTGAATTTGACTATTAATCCTTATCAGTCAATTTTATGCATTCATAGGTTTTTATGTGTTAATTAGTGTCCTTTTATCTCAGCTTGAAAATTTCTCTGTACCATTTCTTGTAAGACTACAGCTTTTATTACCAAAAACAAGATTTCCTGAACTGCTTTGAAATGTGCCAACAGTGATGACAGTCTATTTGAAGTGAGCAGAATAATGCACTTTTTAAAATTTAAACACACTTTCTTCATCACATCTCCTATATTCTTTTGCTCACTAGTGTCTCATAAACTTCCTTTACACTTGCATTTTTTCATTTTGACCAGATAGTTGACTAGACTAGATAATTTTAGGAGACTTGCCTTTGAGTTCACTGATTCTTTCATTTGATCTAGTCTATTGTTGAAACTCTCTTGAATGTTTTACTTCAGTCATTGTATTCTTCAGCTCTGGGATTAGTCTGTTTGAGTTTTCTTTGTTTATTAGACCGCTCATCTTGTTCCTGTCTGTGTTATTTCCCTAATTTTGTTCAGTTGTGTATCTCTGTTTTTTTATAATTCACTCAACTTCTTTAAAAGGATTATTCTTAACTTTTTGTCATTCAGTTCATAAGTCTCAGTTTCTTTATTTTAATTTTCTATTTTATTACACATTTGCAGTACGTAATGATTACATGCATTGTGGGGAATTGGTACATATACATAGCATCTTAACTTTTTTTTTCCTTTTCCCCTCCACGCACTTTTTAAAATTTTTTTGGCAGCTTCAAATTTATAAGTCCCTATCAGATTAA